GCAGACGCTGCCTAATTTGACCTTAAGCTGCCAAAACTTGTATAACTTTCTCTAGAAGACTCGGAATCATGAACCGTAAAATTCTCCAGAAAATAGACTTCCGTAACTTTCCAATGATGTATGGCTCATTATTTGGTTCTTCCTGAGCTAGTACAGTCCAATCCGTGAAGTTGACTAATCTGCAGACACCGTTTTAAGCTAACTTGTCTCCAAAATGCATTTAATGAGTCTCAAATCTCAATACATTAAAACAAACACAAAAGATATTAAAAGCACAAGTTTAACTAAAAAACATAACCAAATCATATGTTAGAAGGTTACAAAATGGTATGTAATTATGCACTGATCAGTGCCCGGGACAAGGTGCACGTGTCGTGCGAAAGAGTTTGCAATCGGATCGGCATGCCTCATTCCAATCCATAGGGCATACATGTTGTCCGTAAGAGTTTGCTACAGGATCGACATGTATCTTGCCAATACGTAGGGTTCACATGTCACACAAAGGGGTATGCAACCAGATCAGGATGCTTCTTGTCAATCGATAGGTCACACATATTACACGTTGGAGTTTGCAAATAGGTTAGCAAGGATTTTGCCTATTAGTAGGACGATGACTCGCATGTTGCGCATGGGTGTTGTCTACAAGATCGACAAGCGTTTTACCAATCTGTTGGACGACGTCGTGAAATAAAAATCATGGAAATTGGAGGTCGAGACTTCTGAGTTTAAATCCCTCCAAAAGAGGCGTCATTTCACAATTTACTTAGGACCGCAATACAAAAACCAAAATCAAAGATTAATAACAGCTTTATCAGCCTTTTCTCTTATTTGGAAAATGGAAATTGACTACAAGAAATATCAAAAATTTGTGCAACCAAAAAGTAAAGAAATATAAAAAAATTTAGAAGTCATGTCAGCACGATCTAGTTACTATATTCTCGTTAATAAGGCTTGGTTAGGTCGGTTTAAATCAGATGTTAGTCACTTGTATTAAAACAAAAGAATAATAAGATAGCTTCTTCAACATGCTGTTTCTACAATACTTTGTAAGCATGGTAATGTACCATGCGAAAAAGATAGGAAAATGGGGATGGAGTGCCATGCATATCCGCCCACCCATGTGGGTCGGGGCACAAACTAAAGAGGAAGGCATACCGGAAAGCTTGAAGGTTGGTAGAACGAGTGGAGAAACAGAGACTGAAAGAAGATAATAAGAAATAGCTCATCAAGAAAGCAATGATGAAAAAGAGGCTTGTTAAGAGGTTTGGCGATAGAGAAGTGGCTTATGGGTTGGGAGAATAAGGAAGAGCTCAACAAGAAAGAGATAATCAACACTAGTCCCCTAAGTTCCTGAGTAAGAAGGTACTTCTTGGTTGGGGACTTACAATTTCGAGTGCACTAGCTGAGCAAATTCGTAGTTCATTTTCTAGGGTGTGTGGTGCACTACCTCCACATGCCGTAGGGCTGTGATGCCGAAGGCACAAGACTTGCGTGTTGCAAGGTGAGAAGCCGGATGGAGAGGGGGTGCCGAAGGCACAAAACTTGCATTTAGCAAGACAAGGAGCTAAAGGGCACGGGGGGTGCTGTAAACACAAGACTTGCATGTCACAAGGCAAGGTTCTGAAGGGCACGAGGGTGCCGAAGGCACAAGATTTACATGTCACAAGACAGAGTGCTGAAGGTTAGGATAATACGCCAAAGGTCAAGGCTGTCGAATGCATAAGACTTGCATGTCGCACGAAAAAGTGTTACAGGGCACGAGGGTGCCGAAGACACAAGATTTGCATGTCGCAAGGCGAATTGCCGAAAGGCATGAGGGTGACGAAGATCATGATAATACGCCGAAGGTTGAGGTTGCTTATGACAAGACTTGTATGTCTCAAGATGAGGTGGCAAAGGCACATGACTTGCATGTCGCAAGACAAAGTGCCAAAGGGCACGAGAGTGCTAATGAACAAAAGTTATATCTTGCAAGTGCACAAATCAATCTGATAGTATAGCAAGCAAATACAAGTGTCATTCCCACAAAGATTTATAAAGTTTATTAATTAATTCCAAATAAGAATACCTTAAAGAAAATGGGAAATAAAAAACGTAAGTGTTGAGATTTTAAGGTAATAAAATAAAATAACAAAAGTTGAAAACTAGTTTTGAAAGTCGATGGATGAATACTAGGTCTCTGATTTCACCATAAAAATCATATTTTATGTATTGAGTTAATTTTGAGAATAGATTCACAATTCAATTCCAAGTATTCATTCTTTTATTATTATGATGATTCGTTCGGCCTTGGCGTCACGAAGTATCCTCAATTAAACCCAACTAATGAACCCCATAGCCAAATATTAACCAAGAACCCATTAAGTTGAAGAAGAACAATCAAGAACCAAAAAGTGTCTTAGCTTGAACCCCACCTTCAACAACAACTCATTCATTCATAGTGCATATAAGATTAGGGATGAACCCCTTGCCCCAACCTTATCTTAGACAATCCAAAATACCTATAATGGTCAATCACAAGTATCAAGATCACAATTATAATAATGAATGAAACAAGGAATTTAAATTAGTTAAAAACAAAATATTAACTCAATAACATAGAACTGCATGTTAGATTACATTGGATCCCCATCAAAGAATTTAGTTACCTATAGCCATCTTAGAAAGAAACAATATACTTATGATCATAAAATACAAAATTTGAATTAAGATAGAAAAACCCTTAGATGAATCCACTATAGTTGAACTACTTCTCCAGTAGATCTTGAAGACTATGAACTGCGAAGAAAGTGAATATGTGTAAGTCAGATGCTTTTAGATATCAAACAATATGCTACGGCACCTCCTCAAAGCTGGTTGAATAGATGCATCTATAGGCAACACCCAAAAGAGAAATACACCAGCTGCCAGGGTTAGGAGAAAAGATAGGAATTAAATCCATCTGGAATAGGGAGTTTGCTCTGGATTAGGATTTGACCTTCAATGCACTTACCTTGTCCAAACTAAACCCCAACCATCCCAGCAACTATAGTTGACTTATGATTTAATTAACACAAGATGTAGGCAGTTGCGAACCCACAAAGGCACCCTCGCCGGAAAAAGGTTTGGAGTCATCAGAGGTTGCCCCTCGGCACTGCCTTAGAGGTGCACACCAACTGTTTGAATAAATGCTTGAGAGACCTTTTGTTTCCTCTTCTTTGCTGCGGTACTGCGCTGTGTGTCGTTTTGTTTCTTTTCTTAAATCATGGCCAAAACGAAGTGTTTTGGGGCCATGTAAAAAGAATAAACAATGAAAAAAAAAACATGAATCAGCCTTTGCGTTGAAACTTGAAGAAGCCAGGCCCAAGTTGGAATTAAATAGGGGCTGTTCTCTGGTGGGAACTTCTTTTTGAGAACTTCTTTTTGAGAACACCGTTGGATTTAATCTAATGGCTCAGAAAAAGCAATTCTAAGTGAATCTGTTGTACTCTGTTGTACTAGAATCTGACCCTCAATTTGCTCTCTCTCTCTCCTCTCTCCTCCAAAACTTTTTCGGAAAATATTTCTTTCCCGCGTGGGCGCCATTTTTTCCCGCATTGTTGACTCTGTCCTTGTTAAATAGATGATGGAAATGATGACCATCACTTGCGTTCGAACTTGAAGGCTTGAAGCCCAAGAACCATCCAAAAGCTTGCTTACCAAGAATGGTAACTTGCGATGCTAAGTCGTCAAGAATCGAGCGAACCACTGGTACTAAAATTGATGTAACTTCCTCCAGAAAACTCAAAATCACGAATCGTAAAATTTTCCATAAACTAGACTTCTAGAGCTTTCCCAGCATATGCAGCACATTATTCGTAAAGTCAACCCAACCCATCTGCATAGTCCATTCCTTGACTTCCAAATTGCTAATTACAACTTTCTGCCTTCTTTGCTCATTTTCACCATATTTTGCTCCTTTTAGCTCCAACTCACCCTTAGGGACAATTTTCTATAAAACTCATGTTAAACACATCAAAATGACAAATTTCACAGAAGAAACTAGTACAAAAAATAGGAATAAAGTATAGAAAATAAACATAAATATGGAATTATCAGGTGTTGAAGGCACAAGACTTGCATGTTGCAATACGAGCTAAAGACGAGTCTAGTTTAATTATTTTGGTATTAAGTCAAAATTTGACTAGATATGCCAAACCAATAAGAAGCCAATATTAGGTATGTAGGTATAATCTTTCTCCTTCTGTTACTTGTAAAGTTTGTTTTGATATCAGGTCTTTAGGGATCCCTAGGGGATTCCATTTGTAACTTTTTGTTTGTCTTAAAATAAAAGAAGATAAAATAAAGGAGCCACTATTAGGATGTCCTAGAGATCCCACCGTTAGGCTATATGAGTACTGTGATCATGTTTTTATTTTTATTTTTAATTTTATTTTTTTAATGTTTGATACAAGCAATAATCTAATTTAATCTAATCTAGACTATGGAGAGGGAAATTTGAACTCAGGTGCAGAGTGAGGAGCACATCCGCTTTAGTTAATTTGGCTAAGCCCATGTTTACCGAGTATAGTGATCATGATTACGATAATTAAAAATAACTAAAATAATATATGTATATATTAAAGTAAATTATATAACACATAAAATAATGATTTTGATATCCTAATTTCATCATACCATATTTATTCTTCATATCAAACATATATAAAGGGACGAGCTTGATTAATCCAAAAGACTAGCTTACTTAATTTTAAAAAATCAGTTTCCGAAACTGTTAAATGTAGCTTTATGTAATGTTAAATCAAACATCAAAAGAAATAAATTTCATAAAACATGTGAAAATTTTGAAATATGAAAAAAAAGAGGTTAAATAATGTGATTTGGGGATTGGGTTCTATTGGGTTGGAGGCGAAGCGGGTTAAGAGCAGCATTTTGTTTTAAAAGCCCAATTCCAGATTGAAAACCCATCCTTGAGTGAAACGGTGCACTTCATTGAAAGGAGGGCATCAGCAGCACTGTCGCTGTGCATTTAATTGAAAGGAAAGGAGGCAAGCCTGGTGCGCCGTCGTCGTTTTTGTACAACTCAGGGGCCACCTCGCACCGCCGTCACCGAGAATTTCCATCTCAGATAACGGCGGCTTCATTGGCCTCCATTCATTCAACGTACCCGTATCCATATCCGACGCGTACCGCACACCCGTATCCGTATCCGTATCCGACGCGTATCGCACCCATATCTGAATCCAAAATCTTCATTGGTTTGGAGTTGTAAGATTTGCCAAATCGCTTGTATTAATCGACCGTTAATTGAAGCATATTGCTTGGAACTAGTTTCCATTTTCCACTGATGTTCATCTGTGCATGTTCCTTCATGTCCTCAGTAAGTGTACCTGGCAATGGCAAAATACTAACAAAGATGTGACTGGCATTATTATTGTTGGTTAGGTAGCTGTTAATTTTCTTTTTTTCTAATTAAGAAAATAACATTGATCTGATAAAAGAAGAGAACTTATAAATGTTGTAGGGATTAAAAATCCGCTAAAATTTAAGCTGAAATTCCTTTAGCTTTGTGCTTTAATTTTCCGACATGATAGTGAGTGATTGGCTTGAGATACCGCCAACTATGTGCTTTGAAGTTTTTGAGAAAAAAACCTTCAATCCTCTCAAGCAATGCCATTCCGTTGATATGATTATATTATGTTTCATCCTTTATTATATCAAACAAGCACACACAAAGTTGCTAGACATACATAGTGAATGAAAGATTAGTATAGGAACAAATCCTCAAACAATGCATTAATCATTAATGTTCAAAGGTGCATGATGTCAATTTTCTCTGACATGTTAGAAACGTATTTATAGATGATTTTTCTGTTTTTGGAAATTCTTTTGTCATGCATGGCAAAATTAAAAGAAAGGAAACAACAAAGCAAATTTTGTTGTCATGTAAGGAAATGAGCCAAGTGTTTTCCATTAAAACTTGCTACCTGTGGCCACCTGCAATGTCTTTTCATTTTTCCTTTTCATTTTTTCTCTTCCTAAATTTGTACAGACAAACAACAAAGAGCAAGAAAATTTTTAAAACTGTGGACTGCTGAAAGATGAAAACTCAGAGTGGTTTAAATAGGAGCAAAGAGAAAGAAAGAAAGAAAGAAAGAAAGAGAGACAAATTAATGAGTTCTTTGGGCGGCCTTCCGTGCTTTCTGTGCTTGTTCCTGGTCTTAGTTCTCATCAAGATCCTTCACAAGCTATGGTGGACTCCAACTCGCATACAGAAGCAGATGGCTCTGCAGGGGATCCATGGCCCTCCTTACAAACTCACCAATGGAAACACCAAAGAAATCTCCCACATGATGAAGGAAGCCATGGCCATGCCCAAAACTATATCCCACGACACACTTCCTTTAGTCCAAGCTCACATTCACTCATGGACCAATATTTATGGTAAGAAACCATCTCAATTAGCTACTTTTTTTTTAAAATTATTTATTTTGGGTCATCTGTGTTTATCAACAGGGAAGAATTATCTGCAGTGGCATGGTTCTCAGGCTCAGTTGGTGATCACAGAACCTGAGTTGTGCAAAGAGATACTGAATAACAAAGATGGAGCTTATCCAAAAAAAAAAGTCCAAAACTTTGTAAAGAAGCTATTAGGAGATGGCCTGGTTTCAACAACAGAAGATGAAAAATGGGCAAAATTGAGAAAGCTGGCCACTCTTGCCTTCCATGGAGAGAGCTTAAAAGCAAGTCTTTTTTTCACAGTTAATGGTAATTTCTTGCAAAGAGTAGTATAGTAGTGAAGTAAAATCTGATGGGATGGTATTGTTTTACCAGAGTATGATTCCAGAAATGGTAGCTAGTGCTGAGACAATGCTAGGAAGGTGGAAAAATTATGAAGGAAAAGAGATTGATGTGCTTGAAGAGTTTAGGTTGCTGAGTTCAGAAGTGATTTCAAGAACAGCATTTGGCAGCAGCTATATTGAAGGAAAGAACATTTATGGGATGTTGAACAAGTTAGGGTTCATAATCTACAAAAATTATCTCATAATCAGGGTTCCTGTCATTAGGTAACTTCATTTCAACTAAATCTCGAATTGCGAAACCACACATGGATAGCCATTCAATCTCTGTTCTCTTAGTTATTGAATATCTGATTGATTGATTGATCAATGTGTGGCATTCTTACTCCTCAATATAAATGGCATCCAAATGATCTTTTGGTTGGTCAATTGTGGGATCCTTCGAATTTGCTAGAATACATTCTGTACCTTACTATGTTAACAGACACAGAGTCATGCCTAAACAATTCTCTCTGTATCTTCTTAAAAAAAATATGACTCATGCTGATGATTCCCCCTAAAAAAGAAGAGATACTGGTGCAAATTCCAAATTTGCATTATAGCCAGGAGAAATATACTCAATAAAAATTTTCATTATAGCCAGGAGAAGCATACTCTATTTCATTTTCGTTGTATAGTTGGTGCATTAGGCTTGTTATGCAGAGAACCATTCTTCTTTAATCTTCTTTTATTGTTTTCCCATAGCAGTGAGCATTAATTCTGTTCTCATGTTTAGTCTTTCATTGAAAATTGCAGTAAGTTCTTTAAAACCAGCGATGAGATAGAGTCGGAGAAACTTGAGAAAGGAATACAAGACACTATAATAGAGATTATTAAGAAAATGGGTTAATTACTGTAGACGTCCGTCAACTATGGCCCCAGTTGCAATTGGGTCCGTGAACTAAATTTTGTGGCAATTTCGTACTTTAATTTGACAATAGGGTGCAATTAGGTCCTGCCGTAACTGAATCCGTCAAAATTGACCATGTGAGTGTCACGTGGTCTTGTTGGTCGGGGTATAAGTGACTTTTCGTCGTTTCGAATGAAACAAATCGAATATAGCGCTGAAGAAAGGGGAAAGGACGTGAACTATCCCTTCTGAGGCGGCCATTGGAGTTGCATACGGTGAGCGAACCCTTCTGATGCAGCCATTGGAGTTAAAATTCTTGCAGCAGTGACTGAGTGAGTGAGAAATTTTCTATGTAAGCTTCGAAATTTGGGGTTCATCGGGGGTACAGTTAAAGGTTAAGGTTTCATTTTGGGGGTAGTTGGGTTTTTGGTCCTTTTGGCTGATAGTGATGGAAGAGTTTGACTTCCGTTGGGGTGGTGTTGCGCCTAAATATAGTAAGTGATTCTGCCTGTTTGAATACGTATGAGTTGGTTTTGTTTTCAT